ACAACAATCTGAAAGAATTGAAGATAAGTCCGAACAAATGTCACATGTTATGACGAGAAGTGAAGTACTTGGGACATATTGTAGCAAGTATTTGTGTAACAGTTGATGCTAAAAAACTTGCAGTGGTTAAGGATTGGCCAGTACCAAGAGATAAACACGAAATTAGAAGTTTTCTTGGTCTATGTACATATTACCGACGTTTCCAACCCATTAACAAAGTTGACAGAAGAATGCAATGAATATACATGGAGACAAGAGTGTCAAAATGTTTTCGAACAATTACAAATGGCTTTAATCAGTGCACCGATTTAAAACTACCCTAGACAGGCAGGAAAATTTGTGTTGGACACCGATGCCAGTAACAGTGCAATAGGAGCTGTTCGCTCCCAAATAGAAGATGGGCAGGAGAAAGTCATCCCTTACTATAGTAAAGTCTTGTCGAAACCAGAAAGTAACTATTGCGTTACCAGGAGATAATTGCTAGGCGTAGTGAAGGCTTGCGAGCATTTCCATAAATACTTGTATGGCAGAAAGTTTCTTCTTCGCACTGATCACTCTGCTCTAAAATGGCTCCTACAATTCTGCAAATCCAGAGGGCAAGATGTCAAGATGGTTTAAACTGTTACAAGAATATGATTATGATATGAAACACAGGGTTGGAAGAGTTCATTTAAATGCTGATGTCCTTTCGGGACGGCCGTGCAGTGCAAAATTGTAATCACTGTCTTAAATTAGAAGAACGACTTTGCCCCGTGCATCGAATCACCCTCATTAATGATCAATGGCACCTCAAGAGCTACAAGACTCCCAAAGCAAATAATCCATGTATAAAAAGAGTATTGGATTGTATACATCGAAGTGAAAGACCTATTTGGCATTAGTGCATGTAGCCCAGAAGTCAAGTCTTACTGGAGCCAATGGAATTGCCTAGTACTAAAAGATGATGTTCTGTATGGAACCTTTAAGAACGATGATGGTACAGAATCTAAGCTTAAATCTAAGAATCTGCAAAAGGTTCGAGAACGGTTCTATTGGGTAAACTGTAAAGATAATGTAAGAAGATGGTGCCGGAAATGTGAACTGTGTGCAACCAGTAATGGTCCAGTTGGTAAAAAGAGGGCCCTCATAAAACAGTACAATGTTATTAGTCCTATGGAAAGAGTAGTAATCGACATTGCAGGTTCACTTCCAGAGACAAATGATGGAAATAAATATATCCTGGTAGCCATGAATTATTTTACGAAATGGACTGAGGCCTATGTGATACCAAACCAAGAAGCTACTACCGTTGCAGAGGTACTTGTTAAAGAATTCTTTAGCTAATTTGGTGTTCTCTTGGAGATCCACTCCGACCAAGGGAGAAACTTAGAGTCAACCCTTTTCCAAAACGTTTGTAAATTGATTGGTGTCAATAAGACCAAAACGACACTCCTACATCCTCAATCAGATGGAATGGTCTAGAAAATGAACCGAACGATGGATAAACACCTGTCCAAAGTTACATCAGAACATCAAAGAGATTGGGACCAGCACATCCCTTTATTCTTAATGGCCTACTGCTCGGCCATGAATGAAACTACAGGTCAGACTCCAACCTATCTGATGTTAGGTCGTGAAGTTCGTTTGTCCTGCAACCTAGAGTTTGGTTGCAGACCTTTCGAAGAACATGTTGCAAGCGAAGATAATGTCAACCGGATAAAGTTAAGAATGAACAACATTCACGAACACTCCCGACAATACCAGTTATCCAGTGACAGAATGAAAGATCAATATAATTCTTGATGCAAGAATGAAAGCTATGGAGTAGGTGATCTAGTTTGGCTTTATAATCCACAACGTCGTCGAGGCTTGTCTCCTAAACTGCAAAGACAATGGGAGGGTCCGTATGAAATTAAAAAGAGAATAAATAACCTAATATACCGAATTAAGAAGTTGCCGAAAAGTAAACCAAAAGTAGTTCACATCAATTGTCTTGCACTTTATGCTCAAGTGAAACAGACGAAGCACGAACCGTTCAACATGATATCAAAGACGACCGGAGACAAAGCTTTAATAAATTTATGTCAAATTACGCAGAGAGAAAAAGTGCTAGATTCGGCGTGACCACAGAAGTTCAGCAGAATCTTTTTAGTCTTCCGCATAACGTCTGTCTAGCCCACTGTGTTGCCCTAAATGTTGAGATGACTAAAGGAATATCATCCGTATTTTATAGGAAGTTCGGTCGTTTGGACGAGTTAAAAAATCAGCAGCTTAAAGTTGGAAGAGTACTGGGATTAGAAGATGGTTCTCGATCTTTGCTGTATACGGTGACCAGGAATTCGTATACAGACAGGGCAAGCTACGAGGATATATGGCGTGCTCTAACTAATTTAAAGAAAATCGTGTGCAATTATGATATCAAGAATTTGGCCTTATCCAAGATAGGCCATGCACTAGAAAAACTAGACAAGAAGATTGTCAGAAGCATACTTGAAGTAATATTTTGAAAAACCGGCGTACGAATTACTGTGTGTAGCAATAATCCGAAGAGATCGTGCCCGTTAAAGACAGTGGACTCCGCTATACTGGGCTTTCATGAAAAGTTGCTAATAAGGACGTAAAATCAAAGAGGGGAGCAGTGTAACGAAATAGTCCATCCCCGATGCGTGGTACGTGTCACAGTTCTTAGAAGTATGGATCCAGAATATTCGATCATTGCAAATAACGATGATATTAGGGTTTTAGTTGATAAGATATTTTCGTGCTGTAATTTATAAATAAATATATTTTTATAAATTAAGAACCGCTTGTTTTATTTAAAAACGGTACAATATACATTTTCATGTATATAGCGACAGAGGGTAAATGGTAAAACACTGAACTAAATATATTTAAAATATTTTTACTGTACCACCATCTTGGACTAAAACATTTTCTGGAATAAACATATAACTTAGTAAGGCATAAAAAAAGAAAGATAATATTTTAAAGTACCAATACTGCATCAAATTTCTAACTATTGACATGATTAGACTTCTTGTAACAAGTACAGAAAAAAAATTATTAAGGTCTTGTATAATGGCATCGATATACAGATGCCACTTTGAAAAACGCTGTATATATATATATATATATATATATATATATATATATATATATATATATATACATATTATAGTTTTTAAATCGACATGATAAGTTAAAAGCCTATATTAATATTTTTAAAAATTAACTTTTATATTTCTCAACCACGAGCATATAAGTTTTGGAACACCCTGTATAAGACAAAATTGTGTACAAATGATTATGTTTAGTTTTAAGAAATTTTGTATTAGTCCCAGAAACAGTAAAGTCCATATTAGATAATAGGTAATTTAGATAAGAAAGTTGTTGTTTGAACTAAGTACCCAAAGCCGAGGTCGAGGGTAAATCTATGTAACAAAGGAATCGATTATTGACTTTTCAAGAAATACAGTTATAATAGGCATTATCGGTAGTTAAATTATAGATACCTGGATATTATTATTTGTAAAGATAGAAAAAATACGTTTTATGTTTACAGTAGGATTAAGATAGCTAGAAATTTTGTTTTTTTTTTAATCCGTAATGACAATTTTAAAAAGAGAAAATAGTTTGGTAAAAAAATACGTCATGACTGAAAGTTGTTTTGATTGGCTAAAAATGGTAAAGAGGAAAGGGAAGGACTGGAGAAGGAGTGAGAATTAATGAGAAGAAAATGCAGTCGGTTTTGTTCGATTGAAAGGGATAGTCCTGTTTGGTGGTTATTGTACGAAAAATGGAAATTGCCGGTTTTTGTTTGTCCAAAAGTGACCAGTGTGAGATAATTGGAACGAAGAATTTGATCAAGTCCTTGAATCTAAAGATACAACTCCTTGAATCTAAAGCATACAGCAATCGTTAAGTACTGTAAAAGGCGGAATACTGCAGCAGGAGAAAGCCGGAACGAGTGCAGGTAGGAGGCATAACAGGAAAAGGAAAACGAGGTGACAGCAAGCCGGGACATATTTGGGAAACGTGGACAAGTTTCGTTGGATCGCAACAGTAGCAACTAAGGAGAATTGTTTTTGTCTTTGAGGACATTTTCAAAGCTACAGTGAAAAGGTCAGTCTTAATTTGTTACGACAGAAATGAATGGTTTTGCGTATTAAATACCACAGTGCATATTTAAATAAACATTTCAATATTATATTTTTTTTAAATCTCAAGAAAAAGTTATCATTTAGATATCATGATTATTTCTTTTATCAGTAATATTGATAAATCAAAATATTTCATATCAAACAAATTTGGGTCACAAAAGAGAACAAGATTCATAGTTTTAATATTGGTTACATACAATAAAAGGTAAAGAAGTCATTGATAAAACTTACATGATTGAACATTTAATACAAATTGATAAAATAAACGAAATTTGTTATTTCAGCTTTGAAATTCCTGTGTATTATTTATGTCGTTTTTACCTAACCTTTTATTAGGAAGTCACTAAGAAATCTTTTTTGAACCTACGAAACAAAGTAAGTACTAAAATTATTAATTGGCCCTGAGATATATAATTTATGAATTTTTTGTTTTGATTTTGAGTAATTAGATAGTTAGTAAATTAATTAATTGGAGTAAATTATTTTCACAAGTAAAAATAGAGTCAAAAATTGAGTACAACAATACATATATACTATAATAAAATTTAATATTAAACTCACCAGTCTTCCGGGTTGAACCGCGTTAAACTTACCAGTCTTCCGGTTTGGACTACTACTACTCCCAGTAGTGAAGTGACTAGTGAGAAGTGTAGTAGTGTCTGGGGACTCGGGAGACTGAGACCCCGGAAGCCCTGAAGAAGACATCAGAGAGGATGTCGAAAGCTCAACCCAATGTATATCGACGCGGTTCAACCCGAAAGACTGGTGAGTTTAATATTAATTTTTGTAATAGTATTAATCTTAGCTCTAGGTTTCATATAATATATATACGTGTTTATAATAAATCTAAAGTATACTCACATTAACCCAGACATAAATTTGGCCACCATCAACATCCCTTTGCTTGTGGACAAAGCTGCCATTACAGAGAAAAATCCAGTCACTAAGTAACCATACACAATTATTTTTTTCCTCCCGAGAGCATCGCAGAGGTAGCCCCAAAACAATCCACTAGAAATCATACCTAAAATAATAATACTATGTTTCTCTTAACTAAGGACATGATAGGTCCTTAATATATATCATTATCAGTCTGTCCATCTATGCAATTACTCTTTAATGATAAATCCTAGAAACATATGTTTCTCTTAATGTAAGAAATAACACTACTACATTTCAGATCACTACCTTTTTTCCATTTTTTTTTCATGCGCTTTTTTATTTCGTTAAGAAATAAGTCTATTTTGAATTTGGTACATTCTACTCAAGAGAAACAGAAGAGAGAAGTTTCTCTTAGTAGATATACTTATTATTAGAATAGAATTATTAAAGCATGGAGCATCCGAACTCTGGGAAAGAATCCATTATCTAATAACATTAATATGGACCAAGGAGCAAATTCCAGAGGAATGGACAGTTGGCCTCATACAGCCAATATATAAAAAAGGAGATAAGAGGGAATGCCAGAATTATAGGCTAATTACATTGCTAAATGTAATATACAAAATTCTTTCTGGTATAATCTACAATAGATTATTAGAATACTCCGAAAATATAATTGGTGATTAGGATTCAGACCAAATAGAGCCACTACAGATAACATATTCATACTAAGAACGATACAAGAAAAAGCTTATGAATACGACATAGACCTATATAATATGTATATAGACTTTTAACAAGCCTTTGATAGTGTGAAAAGAGACAGAATGCTGGAAGACCTTTGTAATCTAGGTATACCTAATAAATACATCAGCCTCATAAAAATGACGTTGCAGGATTCAAAAGCCGCAGTCAGAGTAGATGGAGAACTGACTCCCCTGTTTAACATCAACATGGGAGTAAGACAGGGAGATGCCCTATCAACCATGCTATTCAACCTAGTTCTTGAGGCAGTCATCAGAAAAACCAATATAACCGGCCATATAAACACCAAATCAGTACAAATTACTGCATATGCAGACGATGTAGCCATCATTAGTAGGAATAAGCCACGACTAATGGAAGTGTTCAAACAAATTGATCCTGAAGCAAGAAAAAGAGGTATCAAAATAAACGAAGCAAAAACGAAGTATATGACAGTCAAAAGAATAACTGACAATGAAAATAATATCACAATAGACAACTATACTATCGAACGAGTGGATGCCTTTACATATCTCGGCACAGAAATCAATCAGAAGAACTCCGTAAGTAGCGAAATTAATGCACGTATTTCCAGCGGGAATCGTACATACTATGCTAATAAAAGATTGATGACATCGAAATTATTAGACAAAAGAACCAAAATGACTATCTACAGAACAGTGATTAGACCCGTAGTAACATATGGATGTGAAACTTGGGTGATGACGAAAAAAGATGAAGCCCAACTCAGGACATTCGAGAGAAAAATACTGAGGAAAGTATATGGGCCGGTACAAGAGGAAGATGGCACATGGAGAATTAGGAGAAACGACGAGGTTAATAAGTTAAATGAAGGTTATGACATTTAAAGATTTGCGAAAAGTCAATGACTGTCATGGCTGGGACATGTGCAGAGACAAAACGATGCAAAAACAACAAAGAAAATGTTACAATGACAGCCCATAGGAAGGCGACAAAAAGGAACGCCCAGAACGAGATGGTTGGATGACGTGGAAGACGACCTGAAAACAATGAACATAAGACAATGGAGAAGAACGGCACAAGAGAGATCTGAATGGAAGGACATAGCCAGACAGGCAAAGACCCATCCAGGGTTATGATGCCAAAAGAAGAAGAAAATAAATGTAGAGTCAATAAATCTTCTCATATTTTTCTTGTTATAGTCTTATACCTATTATTTCTCAAATAGTAAAAGTTCTAAAGAATTTTAACTTAATACAAAAATATATTTTGATGCAATCAGGAAGAGTCCTATTAATTAGAAATTAATCGATCCTTATTCCATACTCTTATATCGAGATTGGATTGTACTGATTTATTATATTCCATTAATAAAATATTTTTGAAGTTATACTTCTATAAGCGCGTTCGACGTTAAAAAATTGTACGGGAGTCAATCGGTGAGATCATTACATATGTAAGATATGAGTAAGAGAGAGACAGAAGATATATTTTCTCTCTCTTTCACTCTCAAGAATAAAAATGTTCCTTTTGTAAATATATTTAATATTTATTAATATTATTATTTTTTTGAATATTATTATCATGGTAAATTAAACATATGCGTAAATAAGTTTGTATATTGTTATTTGTAAATACTTATGAATATTGCGTTTTAATTTGTATTGTATTATTATATTGAATTATGTTGCAGTGTGTTGTATTGTATTTTTATATTAATAACACAATAAACAATGAATTTTACTGCACAGTATGTGTAAATTTTTTTTGCATTCAACTCCTTTTATACATATATGAAAATAAAAATACATATTTTTATTAAAATACTGATACAATCCTTCATTTACTATACTCCTATTACAGGTCAAATGTTTATATACAGCAAACGATGCACCATATACCCAGATACCTCATTCTTTTTCTCTTTCTGCTCTCTCTTACCTATAGCATTACATATGAAATTGTGCAGATTGACTTCCATATAAATTTGTAACGGCCAACGCGTGTATAGAAGTATAACTTCTTCCGTCAGTCCCACTGGACCGCCACACCCGTTTTTTTATTATTTATCTAAGGATACATCACGATATTATCAGAAACAAATGCTGAAAATATCTCAATTGTTGACGTTATCTGACTAAAAATTTCACAACTTTATGTAATATATGTTATGTTTTCTCTGGATATTTGTTCCGTTTCTCATCTGTGTTTATTTCAAACTTATCTGTCATAGAAATTTGTATAAAGTACGTAATAAAAGTGTATCAAAACCCTTACAATTTTTTTCAATATTTATCAACGATATTATTTTAAAATAAAAAGCATACCTGCAAAGGTAACTCCATTCAAAATACCCTTATCTTCAATAGTAAGGTGCAGATCACATTCTGCTACTGGTACTATGTAGGTCATTCCCACGGTTTCAACCATTTGTGTCGCACACGGAAATAAGATCACTATCAACAGTATATAGTTAAACGTACCAAATCCAGTTTCCGAGATCGCTTCTTCAAAAGTTTTCGGAACTTCTAAAATAAAGTAAACAAGAAAAATATTAATTTAAGAATAAAACACTGAAAACTTTCTTTGTCTTCTCTTCCACAAAATTTATTGCATATTAATATCACTACATCTGATTCAGCAGGTTTCTCAAGTAATGTTTGTCTTAAGCTGGTCATTCAAAATTATATCTGGATTTTTTGATTTATTAATTTTCAGAGATTTTAATGAAGATAGCTTAGTCTTTATTTTGAATATGAAGAATTTGAAATTGGTCATTAAAATAATGATTATGATCTGAATAGTGAAGTGTTCTACTATACGTTTGTTAAAGGTTCTACCAGTTTTACTGATATAAGTTTTTGAGCAGTTATTACATGTAAGTTTGTCAGTGGCGGCTCGTGGCTTTAGAGAAAAGGTCGACAAGGTTTTTTGTCTCCACAGATAGGTATACCGGTATACGTTGTTTGGAAGTATATATATATATATATATATATATATATATATATATATATATATATATATATATATATAAATATATATATATATATATATATATATCTATATAAATATATATATATATATATATATATATATATATATATACCGGGTGGTGAATCGTCAAACGGGCCATAGGAAACTCAATGGGAAATTTTAAATTGTTAAATTGCTGCTTCCCGAATTATTTTAGATCAAAAGTCATAAAAAACTATTTGTAGAGGACTAAAATCTGAATTAAAAACAAATGTTAAAACCGTTCTACGAATCAAATGTACTTCAAAATTTTGAAAAAATGTGATACATTTTTCAGACCACCCCTAAAAGTTAGGCCACACGTAATGCAAGAATATATATTAGGACGTTTGTGTTTTATCATATTAATGTCAGATGTTTGACAATTTGAATTGTCAATTTTTTTATTTTATAATTAAATTATAAACAATGAATTTTACTAAATACTACTAGTACTGAACATTATTACTTTGTGAATAATAAATTATAATGAAATGTACTCAGTTGACGAAAAATCGCATAATGTTGTATTCAGGCAATAGCGCGAACCTTTTCCTGCCACTACCGGATCTTTATTTAACGTAAGATATTCTAATTCACTAAAATTTAATTCCATGTTAAGTTAAGTTATACAACAATTCAATGAATTCCAATATATTGTTACTGTGATCTTTATTCCTAATAATAATATATGGTTATTTCTAAACATAAAACTATAACAAATGTTATAATAAAGCATGAATAAAACATTTTTATTATTGCTTTTTTCTCCTCAACTGAGTACATTTTTTAATTAACTTAATTTTTTTTTAAACAATAAATCACAAAATTTTGGCCATTTAAATCATAGATAAATATAATATAATTGATTTAAATATTGTCAAATATCAGAAACAATAATATGACAAAACGCAACACGTAATACACATTTTTTCACAGAAAAATGTATTATATTTTAGCAAAATTTTGGAATACGTTTAAGTCGTAGAAGAATTTTAACAGTTGTTTTCGATACATATTTGAGTCCTCTACAAATAGTTTCCCATGACTTTTGGTGTAAAATAATTAGGGAAGCAGGAATTCAACAATTTAGAATTTACCATTGAGTTTCCTATGGCCCGTTTGCCGATTCACCACCCTGTATATATATATATATATATATATATATATATATATATATATATATATATATATATATATATATATATATATATATATATATATATATATATATATATGTTAGGGAAAGTATGCATTTTTACATTTAATATTTTTTCTGGTACGGTTCTGTAATATGATCTAACTTAGGGTTTTATTCTAAAGAACTTTTAAAATATATTATTTCCTGTTCACTCATAAATCTTAAACTGGATATCTCATTTATGATGTTGTAAATACGGAGAATTTGGCTTCTCTTTTTATGGTTCAAAAACATACACACAAGTTTAAAGTGTCGTGTTACCGTCACAATTAGCTAAGATTATCGGGAAGGTCGCCATACAATGGAAAGATTTATTGGTACACCCTCTGGGACCACCGCTTAGTAGAGGGTTTCTTCATAGCTCTGACCATATCAACGCATTCTCAACTGGCACTTCTTCGTCAGACAACGATCGATCGACACGGATATAGTTCCGGACGGTTCTCGTGCTAAGCCTCGGGACGGCGACGCCAGCGCCGGTACCACCGACCGACTCTTCAGCCTGGTACGAATTCATCTATAGAACCAAAGGGTAAGTCTATTCTTGTATAACACATTGATAATGAGTAAACCAGTTTATTTCAAATTTATTTCTACTTTTACAATTTATAATTGCTATTTTCACCAATTTTATGTATCAACAATATCGCATTTTTTCGTTATAATTATTTATTTAATATAATTTAAACCAGCGACTTCTCAAGTTTAATCACTAAACAATATATATATATATATATATATATATATATATATATATATATATATATATATATATATATATATCAAGTGGTGATTCTTGAGGATGCAGTCAGTCTATTTGTCCCACAAGACAAAGAAAACTCTTTGACTTACTGTCAAGCATATGTCAAGTATGTTCATTCATATATGTCCATTAATCAAACCAATATGACAACAACATATATAGTGACAATATAGTTATTTTTAATAAAAAATTTTAATATATTTATAATGGTTTGTTTTATAAAGTACAATATTAAATATAATCTCACGACTAGTAAGTAAGACAATTAACAATTTTAACTAGTTAATTTTTATATTTCTTTATTATAGATGTCTTGAAAAAGAATTAAATTAAATTCGAAAGCTTGACAATAAGTCAAAGAGTTTTTTTTGTCTTGTGGGCCAAATAGACTGACTGCATCCTCAAGAATCACCACTTGATATTTATATTTAAATCAACAGTCAAAATACTACCATATATATATATATATATATATATATATATATATATCTTCTTCTTAGAGTGCCGTCTCCCTACGGAGGTTGGCCATCATAATGGCTATTTTTATTTTAGAACTTGCTGCTCTAAACAAATCAATCGATCTGCATTGGTACCAATCACGTAGATTCTTTAACCATGAGTTCTGCCTTCGGCCAACAGATCTTCTTCCTTGAATCTTTCCCTGTATTATCAGTCTCAAAATTTCATATTTTGGTCCCCTCATCACGTGGCCTAGGTATTCCAGTTTTCTGGTTTGTATAGTGGTGATTAGTTCTGTTTCTTTACCAACCCTCTCCAGTACTTCTTTATTTGTAATTCTATCAGTCCATGATATTTTCAATACTCTGCGGTATAACCAGAGTTCGAAGGCCTCGATTCTTTTTAAATTACATTTTTTTAATATCCAAGTCTCAGCTCCATATAATAATATTGAAAATATATAACAGCGAATGGTACGTAGTCTGATCTCCAAATTTAGATTTTTGCACGTTAGGAGTGGCTTCATTCGTATAAATGCTGATCTGGCAATCTCTATTCGTCTGTTTATTTCTACAGTATGATCATTGGTTTCATTGATCAAAGTTCCCAAATACTGATATTTTTCTACTTGTTCTATCACGTTACCATTTATTGTCAATAGGTGATGTATATTTTGTGGCCTTTTTGTAATCAGCATGTACTTCGTTTTTTTAGTGTTTATAGTAATTCCCATCTCAGCACTATTTATACTCAAGCTTTCGATAAGATGTTGTAGATCCTCTATACTCGTTGCTATGATCACAGTGTCGTCTGCATATCTTAAATTATTAATTAATTTTCCGTTAACGGTGACTCCCGCTTCGATATTATTGAGCGTGTTTTGGAAAATTTCTTCAGAATATAAGTTAAACAAAAGTGGTGATAACACACATCCCTGTCTAACTGCTCTACAGATCCTCATTTCTTCTGAGTGTTGCCCATCAATTTGAACTATGGCACTTTGGTTCCAATATAATGTTTGCACTATATTTATGATTTTACTGTCAATGCGCTTGTTCATAAGTATTGATATTAGTTTTTCATGTCTTACTTTATCGAAAGCTTTTTCGTAGTCAACGAAGCACAAGTGTAGATCAACATTTACATCCCGACATCGCTGAATTAATATGTTGATGGCAAATAGTCCTTCTCGAGTACCCATTCCATTTCGGAACCCAAATTGCGTCTCGCTAATATCCTCCTCTAGACTTTCGTATATTCTCTTATGTATTATTTTTAGCAGAACTTTTAAAGTATGACTCATGAGGCTCAGTGTTCGATAATCAGAGCACTCTTTTGTTGCTTGTTTTTTAGGGATGGTTATAAATGCTGACTTTAGCCACTCCTGTGGTATTATTCCCGTATCGTACACCGTGTTGAATAAATCTGCCAATACTTCCAAGTTGTCCTCTTCCACTAGTTTTAAGAGTTCTACTGGTATTTCATCTAATCCAGCTGCCTTATTGTCTTTAGAGTTTTTGATAGCATATTTGATTTCATCTCTCGTGATCTTCTGTATATCTAAAGGATTTAATTCTTGTATTTTCTGCAATACATATATATATATATATATATATATATATATATATATATATATATATATATATATATATATATATATATATATATATATATATAAATATCAAGTGGTGATTCTTGAGGATGCAGTCAGTCTATTTGGCCCACAAGACAAAGAAAACTTGAAAAAGAATTAAATTAAATTCGAAAGCTTGACAATAAGTCAAAGAGTTTTCTTTGTCTTGTGGGCCAAATAGACTGACTGCATCCTCAAGAATCACCACTTGATATTTATATTTAAATCAACAGTCAAAATACCACCATATATATATATATATATATATATATATATATATATATACAAATTTCACACTAATGTAGAAACAATTGCCACTCAAGTCAAATAGATTCTAGTCACCTTAGAGTTTTCTTTGTCTTGTGGGCCAAATAGACTGACTGCATCCTCAAGAATCACCACTTGATATTTATATTTAAATCAACAGTCAAAATACCACCATATATATATATACAAATTTCACACTAATGTAGAAACAATTGCCACTCAAGTCAAATAGATTCTAGTCACCTTAGAGTTTTCTTTGTCTTGTGGGCCAAATAGACTGACTGCATCCTCAAGAATCACCACTTGATATTTATATTTAAATCAACAGTCAAAATACCACCATATATATATATATATATATATATATATATATATATATATATATATATATATATATATATATATATATATATACAAATTTCACACTAATGTAGAAACAATTGCCACTCAAGTCAAATAGATTCTAGTCACCTTAGAGTTTTCTTTGTCTTGTGGGCCAAATAGACTGACTGCATCCTCAAGAATCACCACTTGATATTTATATTTAAATCAACAGTCAAAATACCACCATATATATATATACAAATTTCACACTAATGTAGAAACAATTGCCACTCAAGTCAAATAGATTCTAGTCACCTTAGAGCTACAGCAATGAACACAACGGCACATGACAACGAAGCATAATGGTAACGGAATAAAGTACTACAACCTTAGCCCGGACATAGTTACGGCAATGAACATCAGTGCCTTCAAAAGAAAATTAAAAAATGAATTTATGAGAACCTTTTTCTAACCTCCTCACACTGACTTTTTTACATTTGTTTATTTTTTGTTGTTTCCTTTTTTATAAATAAGTTTTCTTTCTGTTATATAAATATCAATAATGATAATATATTTACACCATATAAAAGTTGTGTGCACAGTTAAACCTCATCTTCATATTAAAAAACTTTTAATATGTTAAAGTATTTATATTAGTGTTTGTATTATATATTTTTTCTAGTTGGACATACATAGCCTTCGTTCGGGGTCTGTGTGCATTTTTTATGTGACATTTGTACTTTCATGGAATAAATAAATAAGAAAATAGAAAATATATTAAAAATCTCTACCGAAACTGAGTAGTTTCAATTTGACGTAGTTATAGAAATAAAATAGTGAGATATAAAATATTTTAGAAATAGTTATCTAAAGATCTAGAACTTATCTTTGAACAAAAATCTAAAAAATATTTTAAAGTCCTAGTTATAAAAGTTGACAAAATTTATTGATTAAGGAAAATAAATGGCACGTAATTAAAGAAAAATATTTAAAAAAATTTAATAGATACTCAAAATGGTTTCAGGAATATTTGTGAGGTTCCAGGTAAATGTAAAATATTTCAGAATTAGTATTGAATATTGTTATACTCTTCTGGAGTCTTATTAAGGCTTCTTAAGATATTCGGAGTATGATTAAAATGATTAAAGTGACTCTGAAATAACCAACAAGCTTTGCTCAACCAGATGCTCTTCTAGCTGCAGAAACTAGAATTGTTCAGAAAAGCATGTTTAATTAAAGTTTACATTAAAGCAACATTAAAGAGTTTTGGTGAACATCAAGGCAATCTGTAATGTTTTAAGAATCTTAGAATGTTTGTAATGTTGCAAATTTTTGGAGATTTAAATTGTGCAGGGATAGTTAGATTAGTTTTGGGGCGATATGGAATGATTTTAGGATTTCGAGAGAACTTAATGGCAACCTACAATCGCAAAATTAATTATGATTTGAACTAAACTGGAAGGATGGATTAACTTGAATATAATTTATGAAATATGTGTAAAATAAAAGAAGATAATGTTTTGTTCATTTATATACATACCTTCATATTTATGTAATAACTTATATTGTTCCTTTTCTTCATTTTCTGCGTCTTTGACAGATATTTTAGATTCACCTGAAGCCATTTTCTGTCATTATCAACTAAATCAAATCAATACTTTCAAATAACTAACTTTGATAATTATAATAAATTAACTAATTATATTGTTGATAAGAAGTAGAGCACTCAATAAGAGAAGATAAAGTTCGCTACGTCGTGATTTCTATCATTTCATGATTTTGCAACCATATATTTATTTCGTTAATACAAATCGTCTGTGAGAATGTTTATTTGGATTGTTGGATTATTCAACAATATATCGTCAAGCTTCGATACGTAATGATTTAACATATTAAAAAATAGTACAGTAAATATTTTGAGTTTTGCGTAACGAATATTTTTCATCATATTTCATTGTTATTACATTTTGTGTCAACAGCATAATATATATATATATATATATATATATATATATATATATATATATATATATATATATAGAGTAAGAAAAAAGAAGTACTTGTGACTCGTTTGGAAAAAATATAAAATTGTTTTGGATGGGTTGGTGTCAATAAAAGGGGCTATTTGTAAACTATTTTTTACTCGAGCTTTCAATTGTGTTTACAATCATTATCAAGGGCTGCTAAAAAATACAAAATATCTTACAAAGTTGAACTAGAAAGAAAAAAATTTTTGTTAACTCACCAAATAAAATTAGTTTGGTATATAAAACTGCTGCTAACATATTACAAAAAGTATCAATATAAAAATGTTTTAATCTAATAAATGCTTCTCTGAATTTTTATATAATTTTGAAAAAGTTTCTTAATACAAAAACAATTGAATTTATAAATAAATTTGAATATTGACAATTACAAATAAGCCTCAATGTCATAAATACCAACTTAAAATTTTTTATTTTTGACAATTATTTTGCTAAAAATAAAATTTAGTTTCAAAATTCTTTTTTGTTTCATAACAAAAACGTCTTTTTTCTCCAATTTTTGACCGAAAAACCAGCCACTCTTCGAGTGATCCTTATTTTATATATATATATATATATATATATATATATATATATATATATATATATATATATATATATATATATATATATATTGTTATGATATGTAAAATCGAGAAAGATATTGGTTTGTCTAAAATATTTCAAGATTCAAAAACATTAAAATAATTCAGATAATTAGGATAATACCCAACAAACATTTCGAAGAAGGAAAATATTTAAATTTTTGGATTACCTGTATTAAACAAAATGTAAGCTAAGCATAAATTATTTCCTTTGTTATACTATACTTGAGTGACCCGCATAATTTAAGTGAAATCCCAAAGACAATTGAACCGGGTTTTTCCAAATACATTAACGCAGCGATCAACGCTAAGCATAAATAGAAGAGATTTGGAAAGATATTTTTGTTAGTTTTTAAGAATTATAGAAAAATATTATTTGTAAATAAGTTTTATGAAATTTTATAATTATAGGTAAAAATTTGTTTGTTATCGGAATGAAAGAATGGGGAATTGTGACGAGTTTTGATTGGCGGAGATTAAAAAAAGGTGGGATAGGTATGTAGGAATGAAAGTTTAGCTAGAATTTTGAGGGAGAAAAGATAGGCAGTTGGTTTCCAAGGGTGCAAGGCGAACGGCCGTTGTTCTCGGGTAGTTTCCCAGAGGTAGGAAGCAGTAGCAGTGAAAGTTTGTGAGTTTTCGTGTAGTTAGTGTATCTGACAGAAGCTGATCCAGTAAAATATTGTAAGTCATATTTTTCTACTTATATTCCAAGAGTCACTGTTCAGGCCAACGAGAGATTCAGTTTATCGTAAAGAAAAGATATTCCAAGAGTCATTTTTCACTCAGGCCAACGAGAGATTCAGTTTATTGAGAGAAGAAGAAGCTAGCATAATTTGAACGATTCGTGCATTTGAATCATTAAGGACGAGATACTTGCAATAATTTATTGTAAGATTGCTGATTACTTAGGGAGCGGCCACGAGTAAATAATATAGTCTACAAATAACAAGGATTTGGACCACTCATCATCAGAGAGAGATAGTTTTGTTTTCTGCAGTTTTTCTTTCATTGATAACACAATTTTTTACACTTAATTTAGAAAGGATATAAATATTTTGATTAGGAGATTTAGAGTAATACTTGGATTTTGAGATTTCAACTAATATTGTTTGTACCATTAATTTTGATTGTTCACGTACGTAGAACAAAATTTTGAGAATTAGTATATGAGATTTTGTTTATTGAATACTTTTGAGTATGAATTATTTCATTATTTTTATTTCAATATATAGTGTTAGATCATATGTGTTTTTTATTATTCCGGTATTCTTTGGACCTTACCTTTCACATGTAATAGCATAGATATTGAAGCACGAATTTAACCCTGAGATAAAAGAATTAAAAATTGTGATAGAGTCATAATCATATCATTTAAATAATTTTAATTAATCAATTAGTTAATTAGCTAATTATTGCTTGGCGCACCAAGACTTTAAATATCACAATAATATATATATATATATATGTTAAATGAGAAAATATTAACCTTGAACTAGCTTAAGTTCGCCGACTTCAGATTTTATCATCCCATTCCCATACAAACCGCTGAGCACGCAGTAGAACTTATTGTAGTCATTTTAAATTAATTTAATTTTGTACTATTATTTAATTTAATTTGTCAAAAATAAAGGTCTTTTTTAAAAATGTTAAATACGTGATTAGTGATCTAGCAATTAGCGCAAAGTCAGTCGGATTGGGTTAACGTTGCTAGAACACGTGTATACTCACTGGCAGTGGCGGATTCTCATCCCTTAACGGAACAAAGAATCTACGGAAGTCCTCACTCCTGTGATCTACAACAGAGAGAACAAGACCACCCTTGAAGAAGAAAGCATCTCCGAACAACCTCACTCCTGTAATCTACGGAAGGAATACCTAGTGAAGCCCCTGGTAGCCAAGCAGAGAGAACAAGAGGACCCTTGAAGAAGAAAGCATCTCCGAACAACCTCACTCCTGTAATCTACGAAAGGAATACCAGAAGTCCCTGGTAGCTGAGCAGTGAGAACAAGATGTTCTTCTTTATGTAAGTGGATTATGAATCATCTCGTTAATAATTTTGTTATAATAATTTATTTATTATTATTATTTAAACGATAAATTCTGACCCAAAACCGTAAATATATTTTACTAATATATTTTCATTCAATCATAAATGTTCAAGGTAATACCTACCTGACAGACAATGAGCCGAGCCGCTATAAAAAAACCAGTCTATGTTTCAGTTCATTCGAGGCAATTCAGGTCAACATCCATGGGGTCTCCCCTCGGCTAAAAATACCAGTATGACGTGACATTCCAGTCTTTTCGACATGGTTCAGGAAGGTCCAGATCCTTCGACAAGATTAACGGTGCTTTATATAAAGACGAAATTTTATTGAAGATAGATAGTTTTTTGAATTTCGAGTCGAGTTTTTAGTCGAAAATAAATTATTGTATCGAGTCAGTACAAGTGAATATTAAAAATAAAGACAATAAATTAGAATTAATAAAAACCTAACATTTGGTGTCAGAAGAAAAAGTGAAATTTTAAATAAATTGGTGAAAATGGCTACGATTTACGAGCTCACAGTTACGAATTTAAGAAAGCATCTTGATGACAGAGAATTGGCTTCTACCTAAAAAAAGGCTGAGTTAGTCCAACGACTAATGAACGCTTTAAAAGAAGAGGGTTTGGATCCGGAAACTTATATATTTGAAGACAAACATGCTGCTGTCATCTCGTCGATTTCCAAAGTTTCTGGTGACATCGCTTCTTTGGAAGACAAAGTTTCTAACGAGATTTCTTCTCTAGAAAGCAAAGTTTCTGCTAACATCTCCTTGGAAATCTCTAAAATCACTTCTGAGATGTCTGCTCTCGACGATAGAGTGTCTTCGTTAAAAAACCAAGTTGCTGCCGATATGTTGGCCTTCGAAGAAAAGATGTGGAAGGAGATGGAAAGGAAGATTGAGGGAACAGGAATAGCAGAGAGAGTAAACAATCCAATTACCGTAGAGACAAAAGAAGACGAGACGAAATGTAAGTTGGAGACACGGCCGAAATTTGAAGGAAGTGGAGGTTCTGTTCATGTGAAAGTCCCAACTTTCGATGGAAAATCATCATAGAACAACTACATGAAACAGTTCGAATCAGCTGCAAGAGCGAATGGATGGTCTGAAAAAGAAAAGGCTGTAAACCTGACTATTGCTCTTAGAGGAGATGCTTGAGATGTGCTTCAGACCATAGCTGTAGAGGAGACGGATGATTTTAAACAATTTAAGAAGAGGTTAAATATGCGATATGGCCACGAACATTTGGAGCATGTATATCAGTCGCAGCTTAAAAATCGAAGACAAAGGAAAGATCAGGCTCTTCAAGAATATGAGGTAGATATTGCCAGATTAGTACGATATGCTTATCCAACGGCTCCCGAAGACATGATGGAAAAGTTGGCCGTTCAAACGTTTATTGATGGTCTTCGTGATCATGAAATGCAGAGAACACTACGATTAGCTCTTCACAAGACGCTGGTTGATGTCTTATCCGCCGCCCTCGAATACGAGTCAGCTATGCAGGCCTCTGGCGGATACTACAGATCCTTGTAGCTCTTAAAAACCTCTGCAAAATCGTTTTTGAAGAAACACTCTATCGTTAAAAATGAAGGAAATACGTTAAAAAAACCAATTAATTTTTTTTCCGGAAAATTCCATTAGTGTAGTACAGTACATTTCGGAGCATAATAATCTACAAAACCGGTATATTAGGTAGTGGGGCGTTATACATTCGAAATTTTAAGCGTTCTTATTTTGAAATCCCATACAACAGAATAAAACATCTGCTCATATATCTATGGCTTGGCAATGAAAATATCAGAGCAACAGATTGGGGATGGTATTCCAAAGATGGTTTGTTATTACCCGTACGCATGAACAAACAACCTGCACCCGATGAACTTTTGAAAATTATTTTTTGCCAATGCAAAAAAGGATGCGGCGTTTCATGTGGGTGCAGAAAAGTTGGTTTATACTGTAACTTTACATTTTCTGGGTGCTCAGGTGAAGGGTGCAATAATAGTCCACCAATAATTGAAGAAGATGAGGATGACATAGATCACGATGCAGATGTAATTGATAACGAATAAAATAATTATTATAATTGTTTTAGCTATAAATGTAAATATTTTCAATTATTTATGTAAATGTATAAGAATATATGGTACCTTTTTATGTTGATAAATTTAATTGTATTTAATTCTACTTTTTTCAATTTATATCTATTAAATTAGTTTATAAAAACTGCAATGTTGTAAAGGGGGATTTTCAAAAGTTGCAAAATTTTGGCAAAAAATTGTTTTCACCTATAGCACTCATAACAATTGATTTTTAAGGGTTGAAAATGTATGAAATTTTAAAGTATAAAAAAATCACTATCTAACTAACCCAAACCAAATTTCACTCATCTTAAGATTTGTAATGTTATTTTACAATTTTTGAAAATTAGGGGTAGTTTTCACCCCTAACAATCAGGGTTCATCGGCATGACATAAACTATAAAGCAGAGGGTAAGTTGAGCTTAATTCCAAATTTTTATGCAAATCGTTCCAAGGCGAAATCATTTTCTTCGCATTACTATTTTTTTTACATTAATCTCTAATAAGGGTTGCTTTTTAAGGGTTGAAATATGATGGAACTTTATTCAAAAGCACGAAACTATCATTATTTAATTAATTCAAAAGAAATTTTACCCATATTCAGGTTTAATATGTTATTTTATAATTTTTGACAATTAGAGGTAGTTTTCACACCTTAGAACAATCAGGGTTCGTCGACATGACATAAACTATAAAGCAGCGGGTGAATTGAGCTTAAATACAAATTTTTATCCAAATCGATCCAAGACCAAATCATTTTTTTAGAATTAGTAATTTTTTACATTAATCTCTAACAAGGGTTGCTTTTTAAGGGTTGAAATATAATGGAACTCTATTTAAAAGTATAAAATAATCATTATTTAACTAATTCAAACCAAATCTTACCCATATTCAGGTTTAATATGTTATTTTATAATTTTTGACAATTAGGGGTAGTTTTCACCCCTAAAACCCATCAGCGCACTTCGGTTCGATATAGATTTTGATCCTTGAGCTATCACCTACCTTCTGTTAAAATTTCAACTCAATCCATGCAGGACGAAAAAATTGCGAGGTTTTAACTTTTTTCGAGCTTCATTTCATGAACTATTATCGCTTCCTTAGACAAGCAAATCTTTGAGCGGTGTTGCCAACCTCATTAGTCTAGTATTAACCATAAAATATTTACATGAAAGAAATGAAAATAACTACATACCATTAAGTTTATTTTTGTTATTAGTCTGTTGTAGTAGATTGGTAAATACAATGAAAAATATAGGCAAATATCCGGCATAATCCGGCATAATTTTCAGCGATACATCTGATAGTTTCAGAAATTAGGTCTCTCGATCATGTGCCGTCGACCATACAGGGTGACTTTTTGTTGAAAACTAAGAAAGGTTCATGTATCATGTATATAGTCACTACTGTATGTAATTTTGGGTCTACTGCTTCATCGGGAATTTCAGCTGAAATTATGGAATTAATTCCATATGATATTATTTTGTCAATTAACCAGTCTAAAATTTATGCATGTGGTAGACCTCGCTTCTTCCATTCAACAGAGTACATCCATCAAACAACGCACTTCGCCGTATACGGGATGCTTTAGAATAAAATTCATACTGGATTCTAAGTTTTATTTAAAAACTGTGACAGTGATTTCATGTCTGTCAAGCGGTGTTTGGCTGTATAGCAATTCCTTCTTGATTTCAATCCAATATGGTTTCCAGGTAAATGTAATGGATAAGTATGTGCGACCATATTGTCTAACATATGACATCACATCTTGCGCGTACTCGTGTATGTGGCGCAGGCTTCCAATGTACCTAAGTGTCTGGCAAAATTGTCATTATTCTTACGTTGCGTTTTTTAAGTCTCCATCAACATTAATTGTCTGTCGAAATAACTGTCGAACAATTGACTGCTCCGACTCACTATCATACATACCTTGTTCTTCTTATTCAAGTTCACTTTTCGCACGGAAGTCGATAATTTCTTATTTGAAAACGGATCATAGTTTGTAACACTTATAGGTAACGTTTAAATAACAGTTCAAATAACAGGTATGTTTGTACATAGAAAAAAGGCATCGTCATAAAAACATTTTATTTTGCTTGATAATTACAATAATACAGCAATAGGAATAAAAAATATTGAAAACTTTTATGAATTATTTTACGTTTAATATTTGGACTTATTATATTAAAAAAAAAAACTTATTCTAAACAAAGGATGACATAAATTTCTTGATTTCTGCCCAAGACGGTCGTTTTGATGGATCAGCATTTAATATTTCTGTTAAGAAGTTTTTCATTCTTGGCGAAATCATATCACATGGCAAACTAAAAAAATAGGCAATATATGTAATAAGTATATGTATACAGTACTAGACAAAAGTCTCCTCGCATCTTTTGAACGGTACATTATATGAATAGTGAAATTTGGAAGTAAGAAATAAACGGATGTAGGCATTATTGAAATGTTGCCTATCCTGATCCCCAAACATATTGTAAATCAGGTTGGCTACCATGACAGAAGTAATAAAGAAGTTGTCATTCTGTTCTGCACATGGAGCGGTGTTTTACTTTCTCAAATAATTAATTACACTCATTTAATTATACTTTGCAAGTCTGAAAATTTATTCAAAAGGTTATGGGCCCAGAGTACATTCCATAACAAGTAAAGTTTTTGTTTAGTGTTCCCAATTTGTGGAAACCGGCAAAAAGTGTTATTAGTGACCGGCAATAAAATTAAAAATGGCAGCCCAAAGTTTAAGTAGTGCGAATTCAACCGTGAGTTTGTGTCCGCAATTAACATCTACGAATTTTTCGTCCTGGAAATTTAGATTAGGCAATCTTCTAGATGCCAGAGGTGTTAAAAATTTGATTACCACAGAAGTAACTGCAACGCAACTAGCAGCTTTATCAAGAGACAAGCAATCTCAGCATGAAAAGCATGATGCAACAGCATCATGCTTTTAGGACATGTAAATAGAAGGGGACTTCAATTGTTGGGACTACCCTATTCTGATGAGCTGTGTAATTTATGTCTACAAGAAAAAGCCACAAGGCAACCTTTTAAAGAAGTTTTGTACAAAAACTCTTCTAGAGTTGGCGAACTTTTACATGTTGCCACCTGGGGTCCGTCCAAAGATCCAACATTTTCTGGTGAGAAGTATTACTTATCAATTATTGATAATTTTTCACATTTTAGTGTTGTATATTTAATGATAAGAAAATGCGAGAGTGAGTCGCATCTTATTAATCACATTGAAAAATTAGCAGCAGAAGAAAGGAGAGTATCTAGAATAAGAATGGATATGGGAGGAGAGATGTCTTCTAAAATTTTTAAAAACTATTGTGTACAACATGGTATAGTGCAAGAATTTATAGCTGGGTACACACCTCAGCAGAATAGTATAGCAGAACGATTTAATCGTACTATTTTAGACAAGGTAAGAGCCATGTTTGTTGAAACAAATCTTCCTAAGAGTCTGTGGGGAGAAGCAGTTAGAACAGCTGTTTATCAGCTCAACCGAACCCCATCACGAGCAATTGAACTTCAAGTACCAGCAGAAATATACTTGAAGAGGCTTGACTTGTCTAAACTAAACTAAACTCAGAGTTTTTGGTTCAAAAGTATGGTACTACAACCTACCAAAGAAAAGTAAATTAGAACCAAGAGCAAGTAAAGGTGTAATGGTCGGCTACAGTGGCGCTGGCTATAGAATCTGAATCTAGAATATAAATGTTCTCCAGAAATATTGTCTAATAATCAAAATACTGAGGAAATCAAGAGACAAATTATGAAGATAGTAGAGTCAAAACATTAAGAAATATCACTGAAAGTAATTCACAAGATGAAGAACCAGTAAATGTACAATATACTAAAACTAGTTTCTCTAATAGAGAAATAAAACCACCTTCGAAGTTCAAAGACTATGAACTTTATTATGCATATTGTTTAGTTACATCAACCCCATTAACTTATGAAGAAGCAGTGGAGAGTGATAAATGGAAGCAGGCAATCGAAACAGAACTTGAATGTCTCGAAAAAATGGACACCTGGACTGAAGCCACAAAGGTACCTAATAATCAACAAATCATAAATACAAAATGGGTATTTAAAACAAAAAGTGATGGCACGAAAAAAGCTCGCTTAGTCGCTAAAGGATATGAAGAAGAAGTATTTTTAGATATATATTCACCTGTAGCAAAAATGGCAAGTGTTAAAATTTTATTGACACTAGCTCTCAATAACGACTGGAAGGTATACCAGTTAGACATTCCTTCAGCATTCATTAACGGAGTGCTACAACATGAAGTTTATATCCATTGTCCTAAGGGATACACAGGACAAAGCAAAGTTCTGAAACTGCAAAAGACTTTGTATGGACTGAGGGAATCGCCTAAATGCTGGAACCAACGATTCGACAAATGGGCAATCAAAATTGGGTTTAGAAGTGCCGAAAGTGACTGTTGTGTTTACACAAAGAAAAATGTGTGTACGTGTATATGGGTCGATGATATCCTATTGTACGGTGAAGATAGAAATTCGATTCAAAAAGTTATAGAAAGTTTAAAAAGTGAGTTCAATGCAAAAAATCTTGGTTTTGTGAATAACTTTTTAGGTATTGATTTTGAATTTTCTGAAGATGAAAATAATGCAAAAATGTATATTTCACAAAAACCCTTAATCAATAAAATAATAGATAAATTGAAACAGGTTTTCAAGTTGAAAAAACTAATACTAATAATCAAATTTCTGACAATATACCTTACAGGCAATTAATTGGAAGTCTAATGTACATTGCGTTAGGTAGTCGCCCTTACATAATGTTTTCAATTTCTTATTTAAGTCAATTCCTAGATTGTCCTAATGATATATTATGGAAAGCAGCCAAACGTGTTGTTAGATATTTAAAAGATACAATTAATTTCTGTCTTATATAGAGCAAAAGTATATCAAGAAAACCTTTAATGTTTGCATATTCAGATTCCGACTGGGCAGCTAATGTTTCCGACTGGGCAGCTAATGTCAATGATAGAAAAAGCATGTCAGGAGGCATAATATATTTTCTAGACAATCCAGTTTCATGGTATGCAAGGAAACAGAGCACTGTTTAATTGAGTAGCACTGAGGCGGAATATGTTTCATCAACTGTTAGAGATAGTTCAATGCGTTTCGCACGGACGTGGGGACTAAGCCAAATTTCGTCTACTGCGCCGTGGTCAAGAATGGTTGCACACACTATACATGTGAATTACTGTTCACAAAAAACATAGCAGAAGAATTGTTGAACGAGAAAATAACTGGTAGTATATTATATATATATATATATATATATATATATATATATATATATATATATATATATATATATATATATATATATATATATATATAGATAACCAGTGAGCTATATGTATTGCTAAAAATTCATTTAAAGGAAAAAGGTCTAAGCATATCGACACAAAATATCATTTCATTTCAAAATACTTATAAGGAATTTTAATATTATTATTTTGCTTACGCAGATCTGAAGTCTATCTTGAAGTAAAAATTTCACAAACACTGTCAGATTTACGAAGCTAATTTTGGTTTTAGTGACATCATTAATTACACAACCATCTTAACAACGTTAACGTACTAACTAGTAGCGTCTCTCGATTTTTCTGTCTCAAATTTTCGTGTAAGAAATAATATTCTAGCCAGTCTTTGATGGGTTAAATTAAAGTAAGTCACTCGAAATAACTGATTTCAAATTATGGTGGCTAAGAAATTATAATAAAAATACAGTTTTACTAGAAACCCGAAATCACGCCAGAACCCAAAAATACACTTCAGCAACAGCAAGTTTCATACTTTGCGGATGAGTCTGAACAACTGATTCTGTGAAGGTTTCGAAGTTTATCAAAGGTATAGTGGAACATACTTTACACCTTAACCAGATTGGAAATAATAAAGTGGTTTTACCAAATACTATGTTCTCCACTAGGTCAGAGAACTACGAACGCAGAGAAGCAACACTCCTTTGATCTTGCGTAGCCAAGCCGCCATTGAGTGAAAATAACAGGAAAGAGACCAGCTCACTAATAGTCAGTGGGCATATCACACAATATAAATTCTTAAATAAAATTGAGCATTTATGTTGACTTTCAATAAATATGAAATATTGCACAGAAAAAATAATTACATGCAGGGCCGGCTTTTGTTGACATTCTAAATGGTGTAATTATTTTTGATTTACAAAAGGTTTCAAATACATCGCACAACGCAAAATAATGGTGAAAATCATATTGATGGAACCATAGATGAAAATACTTTTTTGTTTATTCTGATGTTGGCATTGATAATACAATAATACACCGATTCTTTTTGGCTTGTGTTGATACAAGATATAATTTGTTCGTCGTGGAATTTCCTAATAAATAATCTTTCGTAATATAATCGAAAAATAACAAAGTCATTGTAACTGCCACGGAAATTTCACAAACTCTAAAAATTCCAATTCTCTTTGGGTGAGACTGAGAAACAAGAAACTTTATATTGATATCGATTGTTAATGTCTTGGAAACCTATTAAAATTACATTTTTCCTTTAAAGTCGAATATTGGAGTAAACGATATTCGACTAAAACGAATAAAAAATCAAGAAGTAACTATTGTACGAGTATATTTCTATAAATATAAAAATGTAATATCCTAAAAAATAACCAAAAAAGTATTACGAATCATTACAAGAGAGCATTAGGAAGATAAAAAGAATTTATATTATTGTCATTACACATGATTCGGATATACATAGTAAATCCAGACTTTCAGTTTTAAGTAATATTTCGATACAATTTATTTTGTTTACAATAGATTCAGAGTTAATACATACGATTTTTAGTTGATTGGTATTGCCTTTAAAATTATTTTTAGTATCTAATTTGCCTAAGCCTGATTTGTAACAATTATTTCTGGTTTTGTTGTTAACTGCGGTTAGTACAATTCTTATACTTGAAGTCAAAACGACGAATCATTAAACCTTGAGGTTCAATTGAACTTTTTGTATTTTTAAATAATACTTCATTACTTACAACTATAAGAGTATTAGTATATTCTAAGTATATTGTAAGTAATGAAGTATTTAACTTTTGTCAATATCTCATCTTAATAAATTTACAGTTTTCTCCTGATTAAGTCACAAAAATTTTCTATTTGTATTTTTATAAATTCCCATTTAAATATTTATTCCCTAAATATGTTGTGTACTCCGATCCATATAGTTGATCTTTGTTATTTATATTTAACGAATTAAACATTGACAGACAACTTTTGTATATAGCAAAAAGTAGATGAGTATTTAGTTTTTTCATAATTTAATGTAAGTTTGTTTATTTGCAACCATGTTTTTATTTTGAAGTCTTGTTCTGTTGTAATTTTAAGATTTTCCCAATTATCGGTCTAATTATGTTTCCAACAATTTATAGTTTGAGCATTTCAGAAATTACTTTGTTTCGTTTAAATCAAATATTCTCGTGTATAAAACTCTTTATATATATATATATATATATATATATATATATATATATATATATATTTATTTCCTAAAAATACTATATTCGTATTGTTGTCTGCGCGCGCTTTCACATCAGTAGGCCAACATCTGTTGATTTTTTGACCTGAGCTTTCGAAGACAATAAATTTAATGTTTTTATTTTGAACTATCCCTTGGCAGACCAAAGTTTATTTTTTTATTGCTCCACTTAACGAGAGCTCGGACGGACACATCGGCGTCGGCTTACTGATCGAAAGTCAAATTAATACTATTATGTAATAACTAATAATAATTACAAAGCAATAATAATTAGCTGTTATTATTCTTAGGAAATATAAATAAACTTATTCCTTTTCCTGTCACAGATGAACATCCGCGAAACGCACAACAATAACCAGAAGACATTTTAAATACTTATAAATTAAACTTTTAACTATAAACTATAACTATAAACTTTTAACTACTAAGTAAATTAGATAAATGGTCAAATGCACTTGTATAGTCGAGTATTTACCACAGGTGCCTACGGACTATCGTAAACAACCAGAGTTGAAGAAAACGCACGTGCTTTTGGCAGTAAAGCAATCAGGTTCGGGCATGCGTATACAGAAACGGTACACGGATTTCGGGGCTCGTGTCGCTTCTCTGTGTTCGTAGTTCTCTGACTATAGGTAAAGTGTCAGTAAAAAAAGTGGATGGAATCAAAATTGCATAGAGTTTGTTGATAGCGAATTTTATAACGAAATAATTTCAAATCTTCAAATTACTTAATCTTCAGTATGTATTTATAATGTTAATGTATAGAAATAAATTAGTTTTCAAAGTTTTTTTTTATTTTTATGTGGAAAGGGATAAAGTCAAATAATTTTTCCTTAATTTTTTTACAAGATATAAAATCTTTTAAATCTCAAAAGTAATATTTTGTAACCATTTCAAATAGGTGGATGAAAACTACATGCAAAATATTAAAATTATACATCACTAAAAAAGTTTTTTTTGTTTTCCTCAAAATCAATTTTTCGACATAGGAAATGCGTTATGCCTAACCCTAAAATTAACGCAGTTTATATACGACATACTTACTGTCCGAAAAATCTAAATCGGTCTAATATAGGTCTTATCATTAACAAAGGACCGCCATCTTGGATATAATGCATTTCCCATACAAGTAAACCGAAAGCCCAAATGTCAGATTTTACGGAATATTCTTGACTTATTAAAACACTTGGGGGTATATGATATCCTGATATATGTCCATTCTAAAAAATATTTTACTTTATTATTCAATATTCAAAATTATATCAACAGTAAAATGAGGTAATTTCATGTTTACTCAGATGAACACAGCATACTTTTTGATTGCTAGTATTCTTCATAATCAGTAGTTTCTTCACAATTATAATTGCTATAGTCAGAATCCAGAAATCTAGGCAGTAAATTCTTGAAAATAATAGTGACGGTTCATCGCTATTGTAGGTCTTCCAATGGCGTACGAAAAATGTCATAAGAAGTTACGACAACGCTACTTGTATTAAATAAATATGTACCTATTTATAATTATGTTAATTTTAATATGATTATTATTGACATTTGGGTTATTATATATATTAATATAATATAAATGGTGTTTGGCAAAGAATGACCATAACTTAATCTTAGATTCCTGAGATTAAAATAGGCCGATTTAAACTAACTTACTTTAGTACGAATGTTGATAATAACCAAAATAAAGGGTGGCAAAGGTAAACTTTTATTTTTGAATATTTCGTGACAGGCATGGTATAACAACACGAAATTTGGTAAGCTGAAGTTTTTTGGGATGAGAAATCTAAATTAGCCAGTAAAAATGATGAAGCACGCTACATACGTCTTTCAGTCCTCGTTACGTTCAATTTTTTATCTCCCACTCGACATAATTTTAGAATCAAAACTTTTATTCTCTTAATATTTTTATTTAGAAAAGATATACTACATCACCGTACAACTCAATACTTTCCATTATTGTTTTATAAATTTGAGTTATAGGTAATGGATTTTAAGAAGAGCTATGACCTTGTAAATAATAGGTAAACTTGTGTACTGCGTCGGCATGACTCATAGCTCTAGTCAAAATCCATTACCTCTAATTACAATAAATAATAATTTTAGGTTAGAAGGTAATAGTTATACCTCTCTAAAACTTAAAAGTGTATACAGAATTGTAAACAATTTTAAACAAAGTGAAGATAAATTGGATGATGACCTGTTGAAACCATTGAAACCCGAGATAGAAACCGCATTCAGTTTAAAGATCATACCAAATATCCTATTCAGAGGAAATTTCATGCTTTCTTTTTTTGGAACGAAATCCTTACCTTAAAGAAAGTTGAAGTTGAAATAAATTCCGATAATTCAATACCCAAAATATCATGATGTTTTATTGCGAACATTAGAAGAAGTGAACATTAAATATATGAAAAGAAGCAGGGATAGTGTTCCTTTAAAAAAAGATGAAATTGTTTTGTGGCGCAGAAATTGCTTAAATTACAAAAAATCCGAGAGTATCGTCGTGAAGGACGAAAAGTATACTATTTAGATAAAACTTGGCTAAATCGAGGTCATACTGTCTCAAAGGTGTGGCAAGATTTGGAAATTAAAAGTCGTCGACAAGCCTTCATTGAAGAGCTTTCATTAGGTATAAAAACACCAATGGGTAAAGGACGGAGGCTCATAATAACACATATAGGCAGCGATTCGGGTTTTTTGAAGAACGGCTTTTTACTATTCAAATCCAAGAAAACCAATGATTACCAAGAGGAAATGGACGTTCAAAGATTCGAAGGATGGTTGTCAAATATTCTACCAAACTTTGAAGCAAATTCTGTCATTGTTATGGACAATGCGTCATACCACAGTCGACAGTTGGAGTCATCACCAACGACTGCCTGGCGAAAAGGTGAAATAATCAACTGGCTCTCTTAAAGAATATACCATTCGATGACAACATGTTGAAAGTACAATTATTAAACCTCGCGAGGATACATATACCCGTTTTCAAGAAACATTCAGTCAATGAAATGGCTCATGCTAACAACATAATTGTACATCGCCTACCTCCTTATCATTGTGAGCTGAACCCTATCGAGCTTATATAGGCTCAAATAAAAAACCAAGTGGCAAGAAAAAACTTCAGTTTTAAAATGGAGGAGGTGAAGTGCTTGTTAGCTACTGCCATACAAAATATCACACCTGAATCTTGGAAAAATTGTATAAGACACACTATAAAAGAAGCAGATTGAATGTGGGACTTAGAATTATCAATGTAAATAATCGTAATCTCGATAGCTCTTCATCAGCCGGCGAGTCGTCATACGATGATTAATTAATTTTTGTAACAAACAAAAAATGTCATGAATAAAAGTTATAATTTGTCATTAAATGTCATAGAAAATTTCTTTGTCTCGTATGTTTTGTACAAAATTATGGAGTTTGAAAGTCGTTTTTTGAGAAGTGTTTTTTTTTGTGTGATTAGAAGTATTCACTTTTAAAGTTAAATATAAGTCTCATATCAGAATATATTAAGATTCATTTTTACAATTCACTGCAACAGTGTAAACGATACGCTACTGAATGCTGCGCTATGAAATCAATGAGCAATTTATCTCTCTTTATATTATGACAACGTTGATTTACTATTCCTTTCTACCGGTCCTAGAATACGATGTTGTCATGTATGACTTTTACAAAGAATATTATCGTACTTCAGATGTTTTCTATATATAAATATTGTATATAAACATAATATTATACATACATATTGATGTTATTAAATACATTTTATTAGATACCTTAACAAAAACAAAACAATTATTAATATGATAATTTTGCTGGATGTCAATGATTAAATCAAACTATCTATCATCACAAACTGGCAACGATGTTGTCGTATTACCGAATTAACAGTTCGGAGAATTTACTGCCTACAAATTTGATTCTCAAGTATACAAAAATCAGAACAACACCAGCTAACCATTTCAACCAGTATTAAAGCAATATTTGTAATAAAAGTTTAATCGTTTTATACATTTACTACCTTTTGTTTATAGATTCCGTCTGGCCTAGTAAAGTTGACAGCCAAACCAAAATCTCCAATTTTGCACTCCGTATTTGAATCCACAAAAATATTTCTTGTGACCAAATCCCTATGAATGATTTTATTCTTTTCCAAATATTCCATACCACTTATAATGTCTAATACCATATTATAAAATCTTGTTTTGGGTACTCTCACATGCTAAAAATAATTGTTTAATTAATAAATAAGGCGTTGTTAAAGTACATGATCATTAACAACAAAGAGTTTACTAAGTACAATCACTTTCTCGATTATTTTGTACCTTCTTTATAAACCAAAGGAAGGTTTACACAAAGAACGATATTAAATTCCGGGCTTCAGTCTGGTAGAGGTATCTTGGTCGAGCTTCGACAGAGCTAGACTACAGAAGATAAACGAGTGACATGGAGAAATAAACACGAAATATAAGAGAATTTTGGGCACCAGCCTATTTTTTGAAAAGAATAGGAAAACCCAATAAATACAAAAGTGGAGAAAAGAAAACGAATACGGTAACGAGAAAGATAAGGTGTCATTACTACACCGTAACAATAGTATATTACTTTATGAGGCAGAGAAGCATGACTTTTCTTGAGGCGCCCGATATTACGCGCCGAACGAAGTGAGGTCAAGAAAAGTCGCTTCTTTGCCGAATAAAGTATACTATTTTTTCTTCAAACGTAGTAATTTTCAACCATAAATAGTACAATTCATACGCTATTTTTACTCGAAATTAACTGTGACAACTATCAAAGTCGTCTACTTAGATGTTAGAAATTCAAATAATTAAGTCGTCGGTGGGATTTGCGTCTCCCTGGTTACAGTTGTTTGACAGTTGTTTGCAATTATTAAAGACAGCTTATTGTTGTTGCAACCGCAAGCGCAAATTTAGTGCGAAAATGGAAAACCTAAACGAAATTGAGTCCGCAGCTAATGATGCAGTAGCACGTTTGGGGCCCTCCAAGTCCGGAATAAAGTATCGGTTAGCGTACAAGCACTTCCAAGAGTGGTGCGATACAAGAGGAGTACGGCAAGTTACCGAAGACGTTTTACTGGCATATTTTAATATAATGAAAAATAAAAATAAATGGAAATCTTCTACAATGTGGTCACGATACTCTATGATAAAATCCGAGTTAGTTATTAGAAAAAATGTAGATATAAGCAAATTTTTAAAGTTACGTGCCTTTCTGAAAAAAAAAACAAGCGAAGGATATACTGCAAAGAAGTCTAAAGTTTTCACTAAAGACGAGTTTGATAAATTTTTGTTTGAAGCGCCAGATAAGTTGTATTTAGGATTAAAGGTAAAAAAAATTATATTGCAAAGCATGTAGTATACTCTACTAAATTATAAAAATATTTCAGATTGTTTTGTTACTTGGGGTTACCGGCGCCTGTCGATGCGACGAAATGGTAAAAATGAAGACTGTGGACATTGAGGATAAAGAAAATGTAATAATTATCAAAATTCCAGACAGTAAAACATGAAAAATTAGATCTTTTACGATAATTGATCAAAACTACATTAAACTGTATAAAAAGTATGCATCACTGCGGCCTGAAAATTTCACAGAAAACCGATTTTTCATCAAGTACCAAAATGCAAAGTGTTACCGAAGCGTCATGGAATTCCATCAGCGCAGTAGCCCAAAAAGTAGCTAATTATTTAAATTTAAACGATGCAAGCGCATACACGGGTCACTCTTTACGACGAACTTCAGCAACACTTTTAATTGATGGAGGCGGAAATCTAGAATGCCTCAAACGACATGGGGGCTGGAAATCAAGCACGGTTGCCGAAGGATATATAGAGTATTCAATAAGAAATAAGAACGATAATGCTCAAAAAAATTTAAACCCTCATGATTCGCCAACATCGGGAATGATTCCTGAAAGTTGTTCTCGACCATCAGTATCATCAACAATTACCAATCAAGAGTCGGGAACATTTTTGTTTTGTACACTAATTGTACTTTTAATTAAAAAAATTACTATAAATAAAAATGATGTTTAATTGTTGTTAATGACATTTGTATTGTTGCTTTGTGACATGTTTCATATTGTTGCCATGACAACATACCCAGTTAACATCACTCAGCCTCTCCTACTTAAGGAGTAGGAGAGGCTGAGTGATGCTCCTACCTTCATCTCCGGTAACAGTTGCTACACACCGGTAACCTGAGCAAACCAGATTGGGTAACCAACTCCAATGGAAGGTGGAGACAGGGCTGAAGAAGAATTAAACCTTGGTCCTCCGATGAATAGAGTGTTAAGCGAAGGGCTAACAACCCTTCCCTGTAAAACTCAATTGTTGCGAATACAATAGCTAATGAAACAAACGAACATAGTTCACAACGATGAACTCAGTAAATAAAAATGAACATGATTATGTATTTAAAATTTGGAACCTGAAATGTGCGAACCCTCTTAAGGCAAGAGCTATGATAAGTATGGAAAAGAAATTGAAAAAAGGTGTTGAAATATTGGCACTGCAGAAAATAAGATTGAAGAGCCAGGTAGAAATTTATAAAAATAAGTTCCACTATACTACTCTGGAAATGAAATGAGACAAAGTAAAAGAGGAGTAGGCTTTATAGTATCCAAAAGACTGCAAAACGCCATTATCGCATTTACACCAATATCAGACAGAACTTTCACCATAAGACTAAAAGGTAAACTGCATAACGTGACAATGGTTAATGTATATGCACCGGCCGAAGAGATTGATGAAGATGAGGTTGAAAGATTCTATGGAGAACTTCAAAAAGTATGTGATAAAATCCAAGGACACGATACTGTTACAACATTAAGCGACTTTAATGCTAAGCTGGTGAAAGAAGAAACTTTCGTAAACATAATTATTTGGGAAATATAGTTTGCATAATGAAATCAGTCAAAATGGACTTATAGTTGCACAATTTTCAACAGCTAATAATTATGTAGTTGTCAGTACTAACTTTCAGAGAAAAGATATCCATAAAGGAACATGGAAAATACCAGGAACCAATGAAGCCAATCAAATTAACCACATTCTCATCTCAAAAAGATGGGCAACAGACATAACTAATGTCAGAACGTATCGAGGGGCGAACTCTGACCCAGATCACTATTTTGTGGGGGCAAAATTGAGGCAGAAAATCGCGACAGTGACAAAAGGGAAAAAGGACTAAATTAAAAATGGAATGTTGAAGGATTGAAAAGTCCAACAAAGATACAAGCCTATCAAAATACTCTCCAAATAAAACTCAACAGAATCAGAGAGGAAGATACTGCAGAGGAAGAATGGAGACAATTAAAAACAATAATCTGCAGAGGAGAAAAGCCAAAAGGCAAAGAAATGTGGAATGGTATGTGATGAATGCAAAACTGTAGTAGAGGAAAAAAAGCAAGCTAGGCTTAACCAATTTTAAAGAAACACAAGAAATAGCATAGAAATTTAGAAAGTAAAGAAAATACAAGCGACTAGAATATGCAGAAGAAAAAAAGAGAGGCTTTGAAAAAACAAATACAAGATAACTAAAATATAACAACAGACACGAGAGCAGAAAATTCTATAAAAGTATAAAAGAAAGTACACAGTCGTTTAGACAAAAATTGACAATATGCAAAGTCAAGGACAGAGAACTTCTAACAGAGAAACAAAGAAATATAATAAGATGGAAATAATACTTTGAGGAAAACCTACATGCAGACAATGGAAAGAAATATGGAGGACCCGAACTTTGGGGAAGAATTCATTACCTGATAAAGTTGTTATTGACCAAGGAGCAAATGGGAATGTCAGAATTACAGACCATTTACATTGCTGAATGTAATATACAAAATCCTTTCTAGCATTATCTACAATAGATTGTCGGAATACTCCGAAAATATAATATAATTGGTAATTATCAAAATTGATTCAGACCAAATAGAGCGACTACAGACAACATATTCATATTTAGAACAACACAAGAGAAAGCTTATGAGTATCATATAGAAAATATGTAATATGTATATAGACTTTAAAAACGCTTTTGATAGTGTGAAAAGAGACAAAATGCTGGAAGACCTCCGAAATCTACGTATACTAAAAAAGTATATCAGCCTCATAAAAATGACGTTGCAGGCTTCAAAAGCCGCAGTTAGAGTAGATGGTGAACTTTCTCCCCTGTTTGACATCAACATAAGAGTGAGACGGAGACGCACTTTCAACCATGCTGTTCAACAAAGTTCTTGAAGCAGTTATCAGAAAAGCCAATGTAACCGGCCATATAAACCCAAAACAGTACAAATTACTGCATATGCAGACAATGTTGCCATTATTAGTAGAAACACGACACGACTAATGGAAACGTTCAAAGAAATTGATCCTGAAGCACAAAATAGGGAATGAGAATCATATAGCAATACATTTCTTCTTCTTCTTACGGTGCCTATCCGTTCCGGATGTTGGCGATCAACATGGCTATCCTAACTTTGCTTGCTGCTATTCGGAATAGTCCGGTTGTCGATGTATTAAACCACTTTCTCAGGTTTTGAAGCCAAGATATTCTTCTTCTCCCTGGTCCTCTCTTTCCAAATACCTTGCCCTGAAGAATGAGTTGCAACAAGCCTTTTCCTGTTCATTCCTCATAACATGGCCAAGATATTCTAGTTTGCGCTCTTTGATGGTGTTAGTAATCTTGCATTCCTTGCCTATTCTACGTAGAACCTCAACATTAGTCCCACGATCCAACCATAAAATTCTTAAAATACGTCTGTAACACCACATCTCGAATGCCTCGAGTTTTCTTAAAGAAGCTTCGGAAAGTGTCCTCTACTCCGTATAATAACGTAGAAAATTTATAGCATCTAATGAGAGAGATTAATGAGAGAGAGAACAATAGATAACTATACTATTAAACGTGTAGATGCCCTGACATATCTGGGCACAGAAATCAATCAGAAGAATTCCGTAAGTAGCGAAATTAATTAACGTATTTCCAGGGGAAATCGTACATACTATGCTAATAAAAGATTGATGACATCGAAATTATTAAACAAAAGAACCAAAATGACTATCTACAGAAATTTGATTAGACCCGTAGTAACCTATGGTTGTGAAACTTGGGTAATGACGAAAAAGAGGAAGCCTAACATTCCAGAGAAAGATACTAAAAAAAGTATATGGCTCGGTGCAAAAGGAAGACGGCACATGGAGAACCAGGAGAAACGACGAGTTTAATGAACTGAATGAAGGGGACATTGTAAGATTTGTGAAAAAGCAAAGACTATAATGGCTGCGACATGTTCAGCGACAAGAAGACACAAAAACGACAAAAAAGATGTTACAGTGGAAGCCGGAAAAAAAGAAGGCCCAGGACGAGATGTTGAATGACGAAGGAAGATGTTGAAGGACGAGAATCGACCTTTAAAGGTCGATTCACACACATTAGTCACGTCTCGTCACAGTCCTGGCGCCGAACCGAACAATCCGTCATACAAAATATGGCGCCGAAGTTGATGGTTGGGATGTTGATGGAGGTATATACCAATGACGTATAATATATAGACTCGGTGAACGCTTTAAAAAGTGTCCAAAACATGAATACCTTTGTTATTGTTTATTGTTTTGATACGAAGATGCACAAAGTTCACGATTTCTTACGAAGCATCACGAAGTTGAACTTGTGTTTGAAAACATCATAGCCGTATGAAAACATTTTTTCCATTTTGTGTGTAGCGTTATAACTGCTACATTGCCTGCTTTCTTTCTTATGTTAATATATTTCGTTAATTATATTCTCCAATTTCCATATCTTCTGTCATAATTCATATTCTTCTATATCCTCCATTATATCTCTTATTTTTCTATATATTTTATCGGATATAGATTGTATCAGAATTATGTCGTTACTTAATTGATTCATTATTCTCTTTTCATTTTTACTGGTATTTGGTATAAAAACCAGTTGGCGTCCAAATCTATCTTCTTTATATATATATTTTAGTATCTACCTTTCCTATTTTTTTAATAATCATCATTTTTATCTTTTACTCAAGTTTCTAAAGAGTGAATTTTATTTTCATCTCTATTTCCGTTACTTTGGAACGAGAGGTCCCATCTTTATTCTCTGTGACATTTCTCCTTCCCGTTCGATACAAAAGTCCATATAATCGCTTTTATTTCTGAAAAGGTGGATTTTCTTCATGACTTCTCTAAGAATAGAATAACCAATTGTTGTGTCGTCTCCAGATTTGGAGTCAACCTCCGGGATACATTTCTCAGGTGCGGGTCAAATTCTATTACCATCCAGAAGACCAACCGGCCTGAGAATGGAACCATTATTCCAATAGGAGAGTTGACTCCGGGACAAGAAAATCCAAAACTAACCACATGGCTTGCTAACAACCAGAGCAGAAAAGACCAGGATAAAACTTAGGATTTGGTGACAAAAATTCTTCTTTTATATACCTAATGTAACACTGTAGCAAGAAGTCGAATAATTTTTATTTAAATTTAATACGATACTTAACATTTATTTTTCTGTTTTTTTTATATCTTAATAAACATGTGTTAATTTAACTGTGTATTGTTTCTTCTTTTTACTTGTTTGTGTGTGTTGCTCCAGAGTAGGCCATATTCACGTCCTGAGTGAGCTAGCCAGGGAGTGTTTCGCATAACGTCTAATGTAGCAATTTGCAATTGATGCATTAGGGGTTATGACGTTAAAAATTGGTCCCAACGGGAAACGATTTGTCACTCCAACGTTGTTAGTGATGTTAGTCAGGTTGTAGCCGCAAACTAAGGTTTGCGGTTACAGGTTGACAACAGCAGCTCAACGTTGGGATGTTACAAATTGAGCCTCGAAGGGTTACAAATTGGCACCCAATGAATATTTGTTGGCACGTCATAGATTGACGTCCAATGAATGTTCGTTGGATCGTTACATGTGTGACAAGCAAATTTTATTTTAAATTGTTGAGTGTTATTTACTTACTATTTTAGTACAATGCCATACTATTTTATCAAAATAATTATTTCTCTTATGAACGGGAACAAAAAGAAATCATAAATATTTAATTTTAATTAAAAAAATAATTATTGTCATTAACATATAAATGAGCACGCCGCTGTTCTAATAAACATACCTTCAACCTTGAGCCGAGATCTTTCGGACACTCGATTATATAGCGAGAATAGGGGACTGCGTAGTCTATATATTATACGTCATTGGTATATACGGGGTAAGCATAATTGGGGAAGCACCCTGTCCACCATCATTTTGATGTAAAAAAGATTAGCTGTATGGAACTGACGGTTGACCTTGCATTTGTAAAATTCTAGTTGTTGAAATAGATTGAAAATTTTGTTTTCTGCAATATTCCGATAATATGGAATAAACTTTTTGACTTTTTCAACAATGCTCTGAAAAAATACAGCAGTTGCGTCCGGTTTTAGAACCCGACGATTTTCTTCAGTTTCCTGTTTTCTAATGAGATATTTCATAAGCTCTAAACTTGCAGAAACCTCATGGTTTGCTACTTTTGAAGCTTTTTGCTGAAAACTATCTTTGGCTTCTTTATTGGAGTTGATTCGTTTTCATCTCTGGATGTTAATGGAGTATCTTGCGCTGTTTCGGCCGTGTCTTCACTATTATTATTATTTTCTATTTGCCGTGACGAGTTTATATGACCTGTACCAGTTGAAGAATCTTCGATGTTACTTATTATATCTCTTTGACGTACGTTTGGTTCTATCAATTTCTAGTTCTATCAGTTCTATCAATTTTTCGTCATTCATATTTATTTTAACAACTTCGACTGAACCACGATGTAATATTATTCGCACTATCCATACCATACTCGACACGTCGCAGCTTGTCGCAGAAAAAATACGTGGCCGGTAATCTTGAACGCGAGGCTTCGGGAATGGTAGGTAAACGGAACGGAAAGTGGGCATATACTATATGATTTGTGTTTAATAATATTTTATGTAAACGGAAAGCCATGGATATGGAAAGTAAACGGAACGTATAGTGAGAATCGACCTTTATAGTGCGCTACACGTACACACATACTACAACGTCTACAACAGTTTAGCACATTGTTGCCGTTTGGAATGTAAAGCGGTTTTAACTGCTTTTTAACTGAGTTATTTTGATTTTTTGCAATCTAGCTATAATATTTGAGTCAAAACGTGAATTATCCGTGTGACTCGGTCTTTATTTTAATTAACTTAAATGCTAGGGGAAATTAACTGAAAACCTTTCAATACAAATCTAAAAAGTGGGTTTTGCAGTCACACCGGTACAAATTGCCAATTTTCAACTTGCACTTGAGACCGAACGGTTCGTCTGTATAATAACCAAAATAGTGACATTTGTACATAACTTTAAGTACTTTAATTTCTGTAAACAGACCATTTACTAAAAGTTAACAGTTTTCGAGTTTTAAGCCAAAAATCGGAAAAAAGCAAAAAAAAAAACGATTTCTTCTGGTTTTTTAAATGTTGCGTCACGAAATTGTGTCCGCAAACCTCAGATTCAGATTTAGCACCCCAAAACACATATGAAATGAAAAAACCAGAACTTCCCCAAAACTTTCCTACTAGTATCACTTTACAGTACAAATTTACTGAATTAATACTGATGATAATAAAAAATACTTAATAGAATATAAAAAAAAATGTTAGATTAAACCGTGTAGGTAGATTCTTGTCGAAAAAGTTTTAAACCTTATCACAAAAACAAAATATTTATATTTTTCGTTTCATGATAGTTAATATTACGAATGAGATAAAAACTTTGATGACAAAATTATTTTAAAAAGTAACTATTTTTGAGTATTTAGAAGTAGTAAAGTTATATTCTTACTTCCAAAAATTGATCTAATCTTCCGTTTTCCATAAACTCCATAACGATTTCCATCGAATCTGTAACAAATGACACGATTTTGATGATGTTTTTGTGGTCTAACTGACTTAAAATTGTTGCCTCAGATTTTAAAAATTTTTCCTTTCCCGGTAAGGATTTTTTTATGATAACCTTATTTGTAGATCCATCGGTTTTTTTAAGTGTTCCTATATATATACGTCCGAAACCCCCTTGAGCTGTAAAGTAAAAAAATCATTAATTAGTATATAAGTCACAGTGCAGTTAATATTTTTTAGGCCCTTCTCTCTATTCGGATTGCCGAATGTAGGCCTCTCCTGTGAATAGGCAGTAATATATATATATATATATATATATATATATATATATATATATATATATATATATATATATATATATATATATATTATATATATATATATATATATATACTTCCTGTGCTCGAATCGGTATCAACAAAGTGTTATCAATCATTTCGGCCTATCCCAGCCTCATCAGACACTTGGGCTGATACAAATTTAAACTCGGAAAGTCCAACTAATGTCTCCCAATACTTCACTACAGCAGAGCGTTTTCGTTCATGGTCGCCAAAGTAGGTGGCGCCTCTGTACGCTAACTACTGCTGCAGTAAAGTTTTGGGAGACATTCGTTGCACTTTCCGAGTTTGAATTTGTACCAGCCCAAGTGTCGAAATGGTTCATAACACTTTATTGATACCGATTCAAGCACGGGAAGTTTAACGAATTTGTCCTCCTATGCCATATATTTGGCCATTTCATTTAACAAAGCGATAGCAAGTTTTGCTAGAAGATTTAATCCTTTGCACATTTCGCATAGCCCAGAGGATACAGAAAACGATATTATTATATCGTTTTTGTTCATGGTCGCCAAAGCAGGTGGCGCCACTGTATGCTAACTACTGCTGTAGTGAAGTGCTGGGTTTTGTCAGTCTAAACTGAATAAAATATTAATTAAATGAATATGAATAATATATATATATATATATATATATATATATATATACTTCTAGCGGTTAATGTGGGCTCCGTACTAAAACGGTATTATACTAACTCCAGGAGAATATACGCCGTGTATATTATTATCTGAGTAGCACTTTATGTAGACTCCGACCAACACGACGGATCAAGTGGACTCCGTAACTGAATAAAACATTTTTGGGATCCGTATACAGCTTTTAGCGTACACAACTAAGCTCCTGCGATGTTGCCAGTAGTTGTATTAGTCGTAGATTTTCAAATTTTAGAGCAGGTACATTTTAGAACTTAAAATTTATTTAAATATCCACCAGGTTAGTCGTCGAGGAATTCCAAGAATATTTGGCTATTGTTTTTAAATATATTATAATATAAATTGTTAATATAATTTTATTTTATTTTTATGTTTAATAAGCACTTTGATAATTTAAATTACTTGCTCTAATTATTTTCAAACTTTAGTATCCATTATAAACTTATTAATGCTAATATATAGCATTATTTTATAGCATTCTAATATTTTAGCTATGGATTAAATCCGAATAGCGTTTTGATATTACTTTACTTTCTCGGAGACATTATATTGTAACACAAGGATCTTATTAAATTACCAAAACCTTCCTTTCATATTTTATTCACTTATAAGGGGCAGCACTAACATCAGTAAGATAATAAGGCGTACCTATAGTTCTGGGCAGCTTAATAGAAAACTTGAATGTAGCAATTTTATTGGTTTCGGGACTGCTAACTGGATTGGGGAAGCAGGATATCAGCATTAAGTTAATGCATATAGGAATTGTTGCTTGACGGTTGAAATATCAAATACCAGAAGGCACGACGGTAGCAGTCTGAGAAAGCAAAGCAAAACAACTTAACTATTATTAGACAATATCATATTTCCTAATAAACTAATATTCACTTTATAACGAGACAAAAAGATATCGAAAGAATATGTACATACCAACGGGTTTCCTATGTCGGCATCCAGCAAAATTGTTGTAATATTGATACGGGAAACAAAAACCATGAGAGAGAAATTGGCCCCAAGAAACTCTGCCTTAATAAACAGTCAAATAAAATACAGATTCTCGATTTAAATAGTCAAAAAATTAAAGAACAATTTATTAAAATAGAAACAGCGCCGATTTACGATGTAATCCATTAACGGCCCAAGGTATAAAGCAGCTCCTAGTTATGCTGATGATTACATCTATAAATATGTAAACGACATACTGAACAAAGTCCAGAGAGCACGAAAAAAGTTTCAAGTAAAATCAACGAAGTGAAAACCAAATACCAGCGTATAAACATAAGAGACCGGCAGTAAATCTAGATACAACGTTAAAGTCAACAATTTCAATTTCTAAAGTATGGAAGACATTAAATATCTTAGAACAATAATCGCAGTTGGTAATACTACCACTGAAGGAGTTTAGAGCATAATACAAGCTTTAGACCTATTTTTATGTACGGATGCGAATCATTACAATGACTAAAACAAATAAAAAAGACTTCAAATATTGATAGATAATTGATAGGGAATAAGCACATCTATAGATAATAATGAACAGATAATACAAGGTGGATAGCAAGGATTTTGGATTGGAGCCCAATAGGAAGGAGAAAAAGACCCCGAAGACTTCATCCCTCCATGATCTTCGGTAGACCCCGAAGATCATGGAGGGATGAAGTGGACGAGGCCATGGAAAAACGAGACCTTAGAGATGGAGAATGGCAGAACAGACAGGACTGGAGACGTTGGCTGAAAGAAGGAAGGCGGCGACATCTGTAAAAATCCTTATATAGATAGATAGATAGATACGAATGAATAACATATCTTAGATAAATAAGCGGAACAAAAGAAACTGTGTATAAACTTGAAATTTCAGAAATAATAATTAAATGAATTAATGTAAATCGTAGGAAAAGAAATAAGAGGAGCCACGACACAGTGAAAAACTAGAAATCTTATGGAATAATACAATAAACTATTACATTTGCTCTTTAGCACCGTGAGAAGATCAACATACAATTCTGCATACATAATTATATTAAAGAAAAGTTAATAAAAACTTCTGTTCGTCAGCAGCCAGAGAAATTACACATTATAATATATTGAATAATGCTTTTAGCATAAAAAAAACGGTGTTATAGTCAATAACAAGAAATTCCATCCAGTAAAAGTTCATTAACAGACAAAAGGTATGATATAGAATGGAGCATTAATGTAACAATAAAACCATATACTTTTGAAGGATTGGAGCTATTTAAATATTGCTGATAACTTTGTCACATAAAAGATAAAAGCGAAAATGCATGTAGCAAACCATAGACATATAGTACAAATAGACTGAATACTGCCATACATTCACGTTTCCGCAATGCGACAGAGAAAACTGACGAAAAGCAATATCTGTATCTTTTTCTAATGGGACGGGTTTATCGACCACGTGACCTTCTCATTGGTCATTTAGGTTACGCGTTCGATAAACCTGGCAAATTAGAAAGAGATGCAGGGACTGCTTTTCGCCAGTTTTCTCTGTCGAACTGGGGAAACGGACCTGTATTGCAACAGGCAGTCTATTTGTATTTTATGTATATGTAGCTAACTGATATCCTCATATCACTATTAAATCTACAAAAAGAAGAAACTGCAATATAAATAAAATTTGTTTAGTACGTGTCTAGAAAAGAACTCTAAAAAAGAATTTGGAGAAAGAAACGTCAACTAAATGTGTAATATAAAAATCAAATTTATTCTTTTAACCAAAATGTTCACACCAAGTTTTAATGTATTTAAATATCCGGTAGCTCAAACTACTTGTATGCTATAATAGTATTCAGTAATCCATCTCAATATGTCTGACTTTATTTTTTTTTTTTATTTTTTGGATAGAATGAAAGAAATATGCCACAATATTTATTATGTGCTACATATTTTATTTGACGCTTCAATGTTCAAATAGGAGTTCGTTCTTAAAAATGTACAATATTATTTTTACAAGGTATTACGTATAAGATGTTATTTATGTTTTTACTTTATCTAGTTGGTCATAATAATCAATTAGTTCGCGGTTGTTTCGCAATCTATATTGATTTGTAATATTATCGATAACAGGTTTATATATTTCTCTAATAATTCTTCCTTCTGCGATGCTCAATCGGCTCTTATTTTGTTTTTTCGTCGTCCATGTTTCATGTTTTAATTCTCCCCGTATAATTAGCCCATTAACAGAGAGTCATTCCATTCAATAAGAGTGGAGGCTGCTCAGTCATCAAAGACAATCATTCCATCCAGTAAGGATGAAGACTGCTTAGTCATCAAAGACAGTCGTTCTATCCAGTAGGGGTGAAGGCTGCCTAGTCGTCGAAGAGACAAGTGCTATCTGCCAAACAAGAGAGTCGTGTCTTGGTTAAGGGGTAGCTGCCCTTTGCGCTATCGCCGATTCTTTTGTGGTTGCTATATGTCAAGGGTCAGTCTACATATCTGTTGCTAAAATTACTTCGCTGCTGTTGCTGCATTTACTGGTATATGAATTTTGTTACGAATTTATCTTATGTGCTAAACTCTAATAAATCTTTTACCGCGAATTAAAAAACATGTTTTAACCTTTACGTTTATCTAAATAAATATTTACTATATTGTATAATAGTTGTTTATGTTTGTTTTACTATTTGTATCTCTATAGGTATAATTTAGAATATAATATTATTTGTCTTATATACAAAATCATACGATTTGCGTTACATTGATATTTATGTGGCAATTAGCTATAGAGTCATTAGTCTTTCCTGTCATAACATATTTTCCTGTAATACAATATCCCAATTCGTCTCATAATATTTAGTTTTCAAAACAGCTGTTACGCTAATAATTCGTTCACCTTTGTTAAAGCACTTTGGTTATGACTACTTTTTCTTGGCTACGCAATTTTAGTTTTTAAATTACAGTATTTATTGATATGTTATTGATAGGGTATGCAAGTGTTGAGGAATAGTTTGGGATTGATATATGAGGTTGTGAAATATTAGGTATTGTTGATTACTGGGTAGTTGTTATATTTTTATCTGTGTATGTAGTTTGAGAACTTGGGAATAATGTTAAGGGTGATTAAGGGTGGAAGAGTATTAATTACTATATTTATAGTAGTAGTTGGCACTGTTGTTGTAAATTTCTGATTTGGATTTGTACAGAATGACCAATTTGCTACAAAATGGTCAGA